GCAAATTGAACCTGTTTTAAAAGTGTCCTAGTCTGACTAGGTGTCCTAATCCAAAATATAGTTATAGCGCCAACTACTGGCAACAAAAAGTGACATATTTAACAGTGTGATGTAGTACACATTAAATATACCATTGAGTTCTAAACATTCAAGAAACATGCTAGCAATACTTATCTGAGTAATAACGTATGCTATTATTCCCATAATAAAGGACATTTTTGTAACTGACTCTGACATACTCCACCTATATTTACCCGCTTAAAAGGACATTGCCCACCTTGCTAAAGCCACTGGGTGGCATTAGCACGGGTGCAAGGGCCCTTTCATCGCTGCTTGCAGCTTTAATTGTTTTTTGTTGCTGTTTTCTCAGAAAAGTTCCTTTTTAAAGGAAGTTCCTTTTTATCTGTCTTTTATAGACTAAATACTATTTTATAGACTAAAGACTATTTATTTGAAATAGTGAAGCTGAGTTCTGCTGATATTAGCATCACAGGCCTATTGTTCTGCTAAATCTGTCTTTGAGCTGGTGCCAGTCACTGAGAAATGTCTACACGAAGTCATACCGCAGATGTTATTTTTTTTAGCCATTATTGATGAAGACATTCTTTAATGAGAGAGTAAATGACTGGGGAAGAAAGCGGAAATGGTGTTGGGAAATGACCTGAAACAGAATCAGACTTACCAGGCTTCCACAACATAAGCTAAGGATCATTATACGGTTTTAAATGTGATATTATTTGTCATTTATATACAGTATGAGCAGTAAAAGCTATATTATGCATGTTGCTCTTGGTTAGTTCATGCATACGCACAAGGCACTGCATGCAGCGTGTTTAATCATCTTGACACACTGCTCTCATATTGGGTTTGTGTATGTAACGTTGACTGATTTTCAGATTAAAGCTGATTGCAGCAGTGAATTAAGCAACTTACCGACTTCCTTGACGGGGCGGATCTAGAAAATTATTTATAGGGTGGCAAAGGGGTGGCGTGAAGACTATGAGGGGTGACAACACCAAAGCAAGTGCCCTTGCATTGTTTTTGTGGATTAATGGCCTGACATACACATTTGTGTTCATGATTATGTGAAACGGTTATATTGCCACAGAGTAATCATCTATATGGTTTAAAAGTCAAAATCCAGGGCACCAAATCAAGACACTGTATATCACACTGTAAAATATTATATGATCATTCAGGTCACACGTTTGTACATTGCAAAATAAGTTAAGCTATTTTAAACTTTTTATACAAGATTCAACTCATTTAATTTTTGTATTTATGTAATTTCAACTCATGTAATTTAAGTTGAAATGACTTTAAAAAAGTTGATTTGACTTAAAAATTTAAGGCAGCAACTTGACACTAAAGGATAGTTTGACTAACTTAAAATCTGCCAATTAGCTTATTTTATATTCTTGCTTATCATCATTTTAACACTAATCGTCAAACACTAACACACATCGTTGAACACTAATCACCTTTATGGTGATTACTTCAAAACGGTTACAATGGTAAACAGTATAGCGGCATGGTTAAAGACAACTTTATCATGTGAATTCACAGCAAAACAAGTGCAGTAAATTACTGTGATTTTGTTGTTGATTCACAGTAATTCGTAAGACAATGACCCAGACCAGCATGTATTAATTTCATAGTAAATTTCTGACTACCCTTTAATCCTGTAAATTCTTGGCACTTTAACTTAATTTTTAAACAAGATTTTAAACTGGATTTAAGACAAGCCGGCATAAGATTCTTACCTAACTCTGCTATGAGTTTCAATGATATTGATGTCATTGTATTTTTTTTTCGTCAGACGGCAAAATTAAGTTGACTTTACAAGGACAATTTATACAGGTACAGGAAACACTGCTTACATTGTTATCTTATACTGTGGTAATTCTAGGGGTGGCAATGCTTTTCAACGAAGGCACCGAAAGCTCTCGGACTAAATCTAAAATATCTTAAACCGTGTTCCGAAGATGAACGGTCTTACGGACTTGGAACGACATGGGTGGGACATTAATGACATAATTTTCATTATTATTAAACAACAATATGTAACATTTTTTACCTTAAAATAATGTTTCCAAAATCTTATCACTGGTTCATCAAGTCGTAACAGGGTGAAAGGCACTTCTGCCATAGCCTGACGGGGTCTGTATCACTTTTACTGGCATTACGGAACTTCGGGTAGTAACCCGAGCACAAAAAGAACTACAAAGTTCGACTGCCTTACGTCAAGCGTTACAATAGTCATTATTTTGTTTTTTGATGACGCAATACATCATCCTTTCATGAAATCATGTAACATACTCTAACTTGTCTGTGGACATCGTTCATTCTAAAGCCGGTGCTGGATAAACAACAAGCGAGCGTGCGACAGTAGGCTAAATTACTTACGATTGCGTTAATGGACAATTTAGTTTCCAACCAGTAGGGCGACCGCAGAGGAAAAGTTCCATGGTGTTGCTTTAACCTCCCACAGAGGCAGCATAACATAAAGCCCAGCCCTGTGTGTTCACACTGGAAAATGACCGTTTAAAAAATAATATGCCCATGAGTTTTAACGCTAGAAAGACTTAGACATGCAATTATGCTGCCAAATAAGACAAATTGAAGGAAATATCAATGTACACAGAGAGAGAGCGTGAATGATGAACAGTGTAACAAAGAAATGAGGAAGAGAGAAAGCTTGTCATAGGAGCGGACGAGATTGAGATGAACTGCATAATAAAGTGGAACAATGACATGAGGTCAATCAGATTTTGGCCATCAGAGACAAAGGCGAGTGCATGTGATCAAAAGAGAGCAGGAGTCAGTGGCACAGATGAAGCCAATAGCGGGTGCTCTAGCACTATGACATCATATGATGGGTGGGAAGGGATTCCTGTGGTGAATCTATAACTCTTTTACTCTGTGTTGATTACATGTCAGGCTTTCTTGCTTTATTTGTTTCTTACAAGCAATTTGGTTGCTTGCTAGGGGGAGTTCACTATGAGTACATAACGCAAGCTGATAGTGTCATGCATTTGCTTGAATTATCTTGCAGTTGCATATACGTGTGGTATGTGCTGTTTCAGTGCATTCGGCACTTTGTTGAACTGGACTGCATGGATTCACTGTTTATTATTAATAATTACAAGCCTGAACATGATGCAAGCCCCCAAGCGTGCATGAAAAACTGACTTGAACGCAGGCAGCAGACCGTAGGCATTTGAAGCATTTATTGGTGATTTTTGATGTTATCCTGCCGCACTGCTCTAGTCATGCTGCATAGGATTCAGTCAACCTGATAAAATGTTGATTTACACACACACGCACACACACATTTACTGACATCATGAGATGACACTCGCCAATTTGTGAACACACACCAAACTATGTCAGATAGTGTTGGTAGTTGATGCTTGGCTGTGGACTGTGAAGGCAATATTTGCTTGAAATCAATATCGTAGCAGTTCAACAGCCTCTCTCTCTCTCAATCTCTCTCTCTCTCTCTCTCTCTCTCTCTCTCTCTCTCTCTCTCATTTGCTTCAGTTCTCACACTGTAACTCTGCCAATTATTACATATCAAATTTATTAGATCGTAGAATTCTCTGTATATCTGATTTCATCATTTAATCTGTAATCTGTCGGATTGTGTGTTAAACTGCAAAGCCCACAGGTTTCCCTTTCCTGCATCTCTTTTCATTTTACACTATAATTCTGTCAGTTATCAAATATGTAAACCCTGAATGGTTTTATTTTGCAATGATGATTTGGGTGAAAAAGTACATTATCCTTTTATGGTTGAATAAAAAATGATTGATTTAGGAGTTTATTTTATTGTAATGTGAGAAGTACCAGAATCCAGAATCAAGTATTCCACAGAGACCTGCATTAAGACGTATACAGTATATCTGATCTGATCGTTTTGCCTTATTTAATTATGTTGTTATGATAGCCACAGGTTAAAATTATTTCCATCTTTTTTTATATAATTATATGTTTATATAACAAAAGTTTGTGGTCAGTAATGTTTTTTAAAAAAAATTAATACTTTTATTCAGCAAGGACACATCCAATGGTTCAAACTGTACACAGTGACAGTAAAGGCATTTATAGGCTAATGCTACAAGAAAACATTCTATTTGAAGAATCCTGAAAAAAAAAGCATCACAGTTTTCAAAAAAATAACACAACATTGCTAATCATGTGAATTCTAATCAGTATAATAATCACATTCTAATCAGGATATTAGAATGATTTCTAAAGGATCATGTGATTGGAGTTTAATTTTAAAGTAGTGCAGAGTGTAACAAGAGACATGAATCTAGTGTATTAGTTACCTGGGTCAACAATATAATCTAATATAAATTCCAGAATTCCAAAAGGCTGTTACAGTAAGAGATCATCAACATCAGATTATTTGAATTGTTTTGTGAGCTAATCCAATATTTTGCATTATTTAAAGGGTTAGTTAAACCCAAAAATGAAAATTCTGTTAGTATTTACTCACCCTCATGTTGTTCCAAACCTCTATGTGTTTATTTGTTCTGCTATAGACAAAGGAAGATATTTGGAAGAATGTTTTAATCAAACAGATCTCATTCCCCATTTACTACCATAGTATGTATTTTTTCCTACTATGGTAGTCAATAGGGAATGAGATCTGTTTGATTAAAACATTCTTCCAAATATCTTCCTTTGTGTTGAGCAGAACAAATAAACACATAGAGGTTTGGAACAACATGAGGGTGAGTAAATACTGACAGAATTTTCATTTTTGGGTGAACTAACCCTTTAATGATACTGTTGTAATATGTTTTATTCAGAAATGTGTTAACCTGGCATTATAGCCTACAGGTTTGATGCTTAAAATGCTTAATCACAGTACACATCTAACCCCCCTCCTCTCTCTCTCTCTCTCTCTCTCTCTCTCTCTCTCTATCGCATCTCTCCTCACCGCTTTCGCTCTCTCTCCCTGTGCATCTGTGCCAGCAGCTCCCTGTGTGTGTGTGTGCGTGCACGCGTATGCGTGAGCGAGGCACTATGCAGTCGGAGCTCCACACACACAGAGCATGCCTGTGAGTGCGGGCTCGGGCAAACATGAGCCTTCCCAGCCCAGAGATCGTCCACAGCAGCAGCCTGATCTCCCGTCTGAGCCCCCCTCTGCCCTCCCCCCCTCTCTCCCTCTCTCACTGCCTCTCTCTCTCCCTCTCCTCATCTACTCTCGCCCTGCGCAGCCTCTTCCCAGCACCAGCCGGGGGGACAGCTCCCGCTCTCCGCACGCCGGCCCCATGGAGGATCCGCAGGGCAACACACTGGTCGTCCGCATAGGCATCCCTGACCTGCAACAAACGGTGAGTTCTGTCAGTGCTCCAAACTCTCTCTCTCTCTCTCGTTTTCTTTTTTTTTTTGTTGCCTGTCCTGTTCTTTTTCAGCGTGCACATAATTGTTCTCTTTCTTTTTTTTACCTTTTCATCCTCCTCTTCTGCTTTTTGCTCTTGAATGTAACCCGTCTTCATTGGTGAGTCTGCAGCAGACTTTGAAAACTGACCACTTTGAGAGAGAGAGAGAGAGAGTGAGAGGGGGGTAGATACAGTGACTGGGTGGGTTATTGTAGCTTTACTGTAATTCACAGGGACTTTTTTCCCCCTGTCGCGAGGATGTCAGACTTGTCAGTTCGGTTGCAGCGCATTGTACCATGTCCCCAGGGCCCTCTCGAGCGACATATGGTGCTGATGGATATGAGAGTGCGGTGTTGAAGTGCTGTTACTCACCTGTTTATATTGGACAGATACAGGTGTTACGGTTGCAGGTGGCATTTTTCAGCATTGCATACGCTGCCTCCAAGATTTAGAGGGGTGCATAAACTTTAATTGCGTTTAAGCATGGCTTATTATTTTTTTTTATTATTAAATCTTAGGTCAGTTGTGACATGTTAAGGGTGTTTAAAGAGTAATTTGCAGCAACCATCATTCATTTTCAATGATAGCTGGCAGTTTGCTGGACATTACTGCACTTGAGCTGAGAAGTATTATAGTAACATGCGACAGCTATCCGTTAACATTCCCAACGCAATTATATATACGTTAAATACACTACTGTGTAAAAGTTTGGGGTCTGTACAGTTTTTTTTTTTTTTTTTTTATGAAGTCTTTCAAAGCCTGCATTTTATTTGATCAAAAATGCAGTAATTTTATTAAAAATATTTTAATTAATGGCTTTCTATTTGAATATATTTTAAAAATAAATATATTCTTGTGATGGCAAAGCGGAATTTTCAGGATCATTACACCAATCTTCAGTGTCACATAATCCTTGTGATATGCTGATTTGCTATCATCAACATTGAAAACAGTTGTGATGCTCAATATTTTTAATACCATTTCTGTCCTTTGATGGATAGGAAGTTCAAAAGAACAATTTTTAAAGCATGTATCTTTTGTGACATAAATGTCTTTTCTGTCGCTTTTGCTGAAAACGTATTAATTCGTCAGAATACACACACAAACCATCTGTGGACTTTCTGCATCTACATTACTAGCAGGTGCTAACAGGGCAATGCTAAACCTTGACCCCTGAAACTGAGCAGCAGGATTGCATGAGGGATTGTGTGATTGACAGCGGTTCAGAGCACGAGGCGAGAGCATCAAAAGATGATAAATGCTTCATAACTTTATGCAAATAAGAGACAGCTGTCAGCCAATCGTAGTGAGGTGTTGGCAGTGGCATTGGTCTGAAGCGTTTCAAAGTCTGCCGAAGTTCAAAGTTTCTGGTTGGTTTGGTCCTTAAATCACATTTAAAATTTAATTCAGATTTTAGCTGACTATTTTTCATTTGAGCTTGGACATGTTTGGTTAACAAAATTGTCACTTCACTTATGCACAATTACAGTTGGAAAAAATGCAAAACACATGTCCAAATGCCAAATCTGTGTGTACAATGATTTAATTGACTGCACTAAAAGCATTCACACACCATGCTGAAGGCAACCAAACGTGGCATATCTGTGATGTTTTGGTTTCCTATCAAGTTTGGCCATTGGCTATACGATGAGCAAATGTGCAAACAATGAAGTTCACGTGATCCACTGACAGACACAGATGAATTTGACAGTCGAGTAGGATCACCTACTAGTGACAAACAGCAACTTGTTTGTCATTAGTAGCTCAGAGTGGTTTATTTCTGTTGGACTAAGGACTGATCCTTGCTGGTTTGTTCAGGTTCCAGTCTTAATCGTTTGGACTGAGATGCTGACGTTGGATTCTAAGAATATAACCAAATGTTGACGATCGGGGGTTACCAAATGTAAATGTTTAAGTTTAAGTCTTAAGTTGTTAAGGTTTAAACCCCATTTTGATTGACTAATACTCTGAATATTGTGTTGGTTGATTATAAGATGGTTTGCTGCACGGTTCTCAGCCTGTTTAGTTGAGTTCATTCAGCACATTTGACGCCAATGAAGTGAGTAACTGCAGCAGAATGAGTGAACCTATAGATCAATGGCTCATTCTGCCTGTCAGAAATTTGTTTCTCCTTGAATCTTTTATCCTCACTCTTTGGGGCTGTGTGCATTTGTGACCATGCATGCATTAGTATGGACTTCTGGTTGAATGTATGTGTGTGGTTATGTGTCGGGGCCTCATTAAAAGCAGAGATCCATAGTGTTAATAAACGCTGTCCTTTATCAGGGCCCAAGACTCTATGTTAAGGAGAGCAGAAAGAATCTGTTAAATGCCAGATTTTCACTGGCACATTCCACTGCCACACGCCTTTCAAATGCTAACTCACACCCAATAAACCCTGATACTATCTTTAGGAGCATTATAATTCAAATAAACAAAATCAGATTGCAACCGGTATTCATATATGCCAACATCCAATTTTTGAAAGCATGAGATGTCTCACTAATGTCTCGCATATGTATTTTTGAGGTGGAAGGGGTCTTGTTAGATCAGGGGTTTTCAAACTTCTTGATTTCAAGGACCTACAATTATTATGGTCCTCTTGCAAGGGACCATATTTCTGGTGTTTGGTTGTTAAATGTTTTTTTCTTGGCAAATTTTAGCCCAGTTTGAAACATTGTTTGACATCTACCAAGGTGTTTAATGGAATTTTTTTCCTGGGAGAAAAATCCAAAGTCTCCATTTGCTCTCCAGTTTATCTCAATGCCGTTTAGGAGAAATAAATAGATATTAAAGAGATTGTGATGTGTAAAATATCCCAGTGCACCTAGAAATTATTCAGCACATAAAGTTTTTCACTGACGTATTTCAAAATGAATTGAAACTTCTTTTTGCCATTGCCTGGACTTTTTGGAATCCTCCATTGACATCTAAATGCAGGTACTTCATTCACTATTTTGCAGAGCTGCCTTTGGTAGGGATTACAGCTGTGAGACTTTAGTAGGCTGCAAGTCTACCAGATTTGCAGAACTGAATTTGGTCAGTTTTCACTGTCTTGCACATAAAGATGCTTTGTGGATCATCTGTAAACTGTAATCTCAAGGTCTCTGAACACATTCTTCTGTGGGGATTAAATCTTGGCAAATTCTTTGTGCCAATTAGAGATCCAAAAACCTCTCCACACAACAAATATGGCTCATTGTCTTAGTCTAAGACTGGTGAGTTTCTTCCATTGCTGACATCTTTGTGTTTTGTTCCATTCAATTAGTTCCTTCAAATTATCAAATCTAGCAAATCTATAGCCCATAAAAAACCTTGATAAATGAACCTCCTTGACTTCATGGTATTTGCGAAGTAAGTTTTCATCAGAAATGGTGTTTGGAATTCAAGCCAGAGATATATGAGAAACCTTTTCTTCAGTCTTTTTAGTCCTACAGTTCTGTAAGTGCCAGTTGGCAAGTCTAGATGCTGGCACAGGTTTAGTAAACATGAGTGGCCAGGGTCCTTATCACTCTTTTTGGATGGACAGCCAGTCTTTGAGGCTTTCATTTTTACAACAATGCACACTACTTTTATAAGCCTTCAATGCCTTGACATTGTGAGCAGTAGGACCTCATGTGGATAGGTCTATGTACAACAAAGTGGATTTTCAACAGTCAAGTTCTAAAGAAATCAGTTGATTGGCATGATGTGGTGTAGCCTCTATGTGGTGATGGAAAAAAAAATGGATTAGTGTTGTCTGTACTGAGTCCAAGTCGGTACTGAAATTTTAAAATTGTGACGCTTTAAGCGCTGTTGAGTGGAGTCGTAAATACCTCTGATTTGCCATTGTGTTCACGTGCTTATCAGATATGTCTGTGATTGGCTACAATGATCAACGGCGCAGTGTTTGAGAGCACACGGAAGTGTTTGAAAGTGTTTTGAAAGCTAGTGTTTGTAAGCACAAATCCTTTCAAAGACTTCCGTATCTGTGTATCGGTGAAGAGCGACATATTTGTTGTGATGTATATTTACATATATTTTTGAAGCGTTGATCATTGTAGCTAATCACAGACATATCCGATTAGTACGTGAGTACAATGGCCAATCAGAGGTGTTTACGGTTCCACCCAACAGCGCTCAAACAGTTTTAAAATTTCAGTTCTGACTTGGTACCGAAGTCGGTACTTTTTGACAGTTCTAGATTGGAGAGAAAATTATGTCAATACATTCTCTCGCAAAAGTTTTGAGTTCCCGCCAAAATTTTGTTTGCTCAAAGAATCCAAAAGTTTTGTTAGGGAACGCAAAGGTTTTGCGAGCAAACACAAACTTTTGCAAGAGAAAAAGCATTGAAAAGTATTTTTTTCCTCCCATCTCATTTTTTTTTTTCATCACCTTGTCCCTTTAGGGGTTTTTATTCATTTGCTTGCTTGTGTGATGCAGTAGTGAAAGGTCAGCGTTTTTATGTATGTACTTATTTATTTGGTAGTTATATATTTGCTCATGTATTTTTGTATTATGTTGTTGTTGTTGTTTTTTTTTGTTTTTTATTTTTATTTTTTGGGGGGGGGGGGGTGAGGATAGTTATTTTATGGAAGGAAAGTTTAACTGGACTTCAAGTATTTTATTTAATTTTTCGCATTTTTTTTATTTTTATTTTTTGGGTCTGAGGAGCTGTATCTGCCATGTATATTGCGTAAGTTTGGTTGCTTAAGGATTGGGTCACTCTTTTTGCCGATCCCTCAACTTGCATTACTTTTCCATCTGCTTACGATTTCACTTGCGACCATTATTGGCTATATTCACTGCAGGGTGACTTTCATAAGATGTGTTATAATAAAAAGAGAGGGGGGGAAGATGGATAAAAAAAGTGCTGTGTAGAGAAGAGAGCATATCTCTGGAGGGTTTCGGTTAAAGATTTCAAAGTGTGACAAAAGCCCTATTCCCTGACGTTAATCGCATGGGGACACCTG